AACTAAGCTTCCAGGGTAAATCGCTATCTCGGACAGCGTTTTACCCCTGGTTTTTTTTTTAAAAAAAATTCAACTACAACTATTTTATATGTTCAACATAAAGCGCTGTCTCAGACAGCGCTTTATGCTTGAACATAAAACGCTGTCTCAGACAGCGCTTTATGCTTGAACATAAAGCGCTGTCTCAGACAGCGCTTTTCTGCTGGAAACAGCAACCAGCATCCAGGCAGAAAACAAGCTTCAGCAAACAGCTTGCATGCTGCAGTCCTCCAACAGCCACCACAACAGCCAGCTCCACAGCCCTACCCCACCACCATCGACCACCAACTCCGCCACTCCCCACCACGTACCACCACCATATTCTGGGAGTTCCGTCAACTTTAAGCACTGCAGAAAACTCGAAACAGCCCAACAACAGTCCAACCACCAAATTAACTTCAAAGCACACACGGAGTCATTCAAAAAAGATTTATTATATTAATTTCATAAGTGTTATGTACATCATTACACAAAATAACAGGGAATACAACAGATAATACTAGCCCGACTCATTTATTCGGGGTAAAGGTCCTGCCTCCTGAGTGTCGGCCCTCCGTCTGACACGTCGCCGCCTGTAATGAGTGACGGTGGTGAATGGGTCTCGGGGCGGTGGGGGAGTCAGCTGACTGGACGAGGGGTCCTCCTGGGTACCAGAGGGCGCAGTACTGTGGATGTTGTAATCCTCTGCGTGTCTGGGTGACGTAGGATCACATCCACCGCTGCTCTGGCCGAGATCGAACTGTGAGTTGCCATCATGACCGTCCCGCCGGTGGGCGAGATGAGCGTGACCATATCTCCGTAAGGTAGCGACGCCCATATCTCGCACCTGCTCGACCTGGGCTCTAGTGGGTCCGCACTCAAGGGAGACTGATAGCGCATCAACCATCGCCACCATATCCGCCGCCTGCAGTAATCATCGATCAGTCAGATCTATGGCATACAAATATGGAAATTGTTGAAAAGGAGTAGAAAAATAATAACTCACATATCCGCTAATGATGTCATATGCTGGATGGTAATGTGTGGATGGTGGTGCGTAGCTGGGGTTGATGAAGCGTCGTGTGATACGCCTGTACCACACCATGTACGGATCGTCGGGATCCATAGCCCCCTGCATTAGATCACCTCCAACGATGAACTCCAACCGTTGCTCCCATAGCTGAAGGAAACGCCAATGCTCCAGCGCCCAGCTGGTCTCCCCCTTTCCCCGACGATCAATGCCGTGAAGCTGTACACTAGTGTCACACCCCTGTGGGATAGTCTGGCGTAGTCCAAACTGCCTCATGACTCGGTCGGGCAGGTGACTCTCCACAACCTCGAAACAGATCAGGGGGACCCTAGCACGCCACTCCGCCTGATGGTCTAGCAGATGTGGAGGCATGGCATCTACCAAGTCAGGTACATACGGGTCCCATGTCACCTGTAAATACACATCAACAGTAATATTATGAAAATGTTAGTTCGCAACAAGTACAATGTTAAAACAAAAAAGCTAAAACTGTATTTTAAATTGTTACCTGGTCCTCGGTGAGTCGGTCTAGGGCGTCTCGGTAATACGGAAGACCCCTCGCCGCATGAGCATGTGTCAGCCTGGGTACCACCCACCTAATATCGAACAATGTTTCAGTTAACAACCCCGCGCATTAAATAAAGCCTAACTCAATGAAAGTTGTATCGAACCTGCAACCATATGCCTCATCCGGTGTAGGGAGCGGGGGAGCATCGTACGCCTGGTACTGGTCGTCCTGGTCCTGCTCCCCCCGACGGTGTATCGCAGGTCTGCCTGGTCTGCCTACATGGATATGCTCCCAAGCCCAGAACTGGCACACAGAGACACAAAACTAGCTTCAGTATGAAATATGTAAGTGCGTGGTGAAATAGTTTTTTTGGTACAGAAATAAGTGAGGTACCTGGAGGACAATCAGGGGACCTCCAATCTCGTTAGCACCTACGTGGGATGCTCTGCACAGCTGGCGATACAACGTCGCCAGACAGGCGCTACCCCAGCTGTAGCCTCGGATATGATCCCAGTCGTGGTCCAACAGCTGCACGTAAATGAGCTGGAGATGGCTCCCGCTCTTATTCCCGAACAACACGCCCGAGATGAGGAAGAACAAGTACGCCCGGGCGTATCTCTGAACCTGGGCGTCATCAGCCCCTGGTGGTAGCTCACGGAAAGTCTCACGGACCCAGCCGGTCCTCAACCCGGATCCCCTAATATCGGCGGGACCTGGCTGGACACCAAGTACCCGACCAACCAAACCGACGGGATCGACTAACGCGTGTCCTGTCACCGCAGACCCATGTACTGGAAGGCGCGTAAGAATCGCCACGTCCCGTAACGTAACGGTCGTCTCACCAACAGGTAGGTGGAAGGAGTGCGTCTCCTGTCTCCACCTCTCCGCGAGCGCAGTGACAAGCGCTCGATCGATCTCCCTATACGCCATACGGTGAAAACCACCTAAACCGACAAACTCGACGTACGCCAAAACGCGAGGATCGATTCCCCACCCCACCATGAACGAGGGTCGACGGTGGTGGGGTAGGGCTGTGGAGCTGGCTGTTGTGGTGGCTGTTGGAGGACTGCAGCATGCAAGCTGTTTGCTGAAGCTTGTTTTCTGCCTGGATGCTGGTTGCTGTTTCCAGCAGAAAAGCGCTGTCTGAGACAGCGCTTTATGTTCAAGCATAAAGCGCTGTCTGAGACAGCGTTTTATGTTCAAGCATAAAGCGCTGTCTGAGACAGCGCTTTATGTTGAACATATAAAATAGTTGTAGTTGAATTTTTTTTTTTAAAAAAAACCAGGGGTAAAACGCTGTCCGAGACAGCGATTTACCCTGGAAGCTTAGTTTGGTAAATAGTTTTGCCACGCAACCATTTTTGTCAATAGTTTACGTTTAGAGCTCAAATTGGAAAAACGTTCAGCACTACTTGTATTATTTTTCCAATAATAATATCAAAGACTTTGGGTTATTGCAACTTTTCCAAGTCGTCTCTTTAAATCTTTCAGCTTCCTGTCCATTTTCACATTATCAGTCAAACTTGGAAGTCTCAAACGAGAAACATTGGTCCCTCATAAAAAAAGAGAGAATTATGCACTTATTCGGATGCTTCCGAACAAACCAAACACGGAGTAACACATTAATGGGAGTATGACATTATGGACATAAATTTTGCCACGGCGGCTGTCACATATCTTTCTCTCATCTCATAATCCAAACTCCTACGGACTACGGCTGTCTTGTGTCTTCTAGTCCCAAATAATCAATAAGTTTAGTGTGTGGTTACAAATTGCATTTCACTTGAAGAGGTGAGAAACAGAAATTACTTATTATTATAATTAACCATCATCATTCTTAGAAAAATTATACAAGTAAATTACAAACCTAAGTCAGATAATTGCAAATAATTTACCGTTATTCAAAACAAAAAAGAAGTTTAGATGAATAGAAATTATGAAATCCCTAATTTAGATAATGCAGAATACTCAGTGAGTGAGTTGATTATTGAAAAATTAGGGTTCAAAAATAGTAATTCTAAATCATAATCAACAAGTTTTATCGACAATCAATTAACGAGCATTATCGACAATTGGATATAGCCGAAAGACGACTGGCCTGAGTTTCTCTAGTTGCGCCATGACTTCATTAGTTCCGCAAAAATGGTGAAAGCTTTTATTCATGTATATTAAAATTGTTATACAATTATACTTGGTACGGAGTACAAAGTAGGAATGAGACAAAGGCCCAATTTGTTCTAAATTAGCAAGGGCCCAGTCCAATTCGTTCATAACTAGATTACGGTCGAGCCCGGTAACGACTAACGAGGACCGAGCCAGCAACAAAGATTTACAAGAGATAATAATAAACAATTAAACGTGGACAATACACTAGAGGTGTCAATTGAAGTGTGCGGGGCGAATTTGGTGAAGTTAGTTATCCGAGTTGAGTCGATTTTAAATTTGAGTTATGCTAAATTAGTGTGTTTATACAAATTGAAATCTGAATTTGATTGTTTTTTTTGGATCGGGTCTTTTTAACACCTCTACATAGCATAGCCACACTTATAATGTCCGTGAAGGCGGTCACTTATTTAGCATGGAGGACATTCGTAACTTAAAGGCAATAACTTCTGCAGAAGAATGGGGTAGAGTTGAGAAAATATGCAAGTTTTTGAATTTTTCCATGATGTCACACTTGCCTTTTTCGGGACCAAATATCCAACTTTCAATCTCTACTTTCATAGAGTCTTGCAGGATAGGTTGTTGTTACAAAATGAAATGAAAAGTTCAGATCTTTTTATGCAAAGAATGGCTTGTAAGATGTATGAGAAATTTGAAAAATATTGGTCAGAATTCACTAGGCGAAAAACCCCAATCCCCACCGGTTTTGAACCGTTCTTGATTTGGGGGGTGCTAAATCCCCAAAGATTTCCCACCGGTTTAAAACCGGTGGCAAAAACCACTTTTCTCATCGGTTTTGGAGTGAACCGGTGGCAAAAACATGTTATTTAACTTATAGCTGGAGGACTTTTCCCACCGGTTTTCACACTGACCCGGTGGCAAAAGTGCCCCAAAAAATTAATTTTTTTTTTTTTTTTTTTTTGCATTTTTTTCACTTAAATTGTACCAAATACTTATATATAATCATAATATACATAAAACACATATATTTGCCTCAATAACTTGTAATATTACACTTTAAAAAACTAAAAAAAAAAATGGACATATAAACACTAACATATATATTTTTGGACATATAAACACTAACATATGCTGTCTGACAGTATACAAAAACTAGTAGAACTCAGGACTTCAAGGGCGGCAAGAATGCAAAACTGATGCAGAGCAGAGCACAGTGACATTGGTGGCAATGGTGTTTGTCTTTGTAGTATCAAATGCCATTTCCCCACCCAAGCTGGTGTCCTCATTGCCGATGGCAGCATTGATGTCCATTATAGGGGAAGGATTCAAGCTAACTCTAGAGTTAACTGCAACATGATAATTCCGTTAGTGCACATCTAACTGTATCAATACAAATAAACATCAGACATAAATCAAAAGAATCTAAAAATTCTCTATTTTTATAAGTTGAGCCATTAGCTACCAAATCTTGTAAATATCTGAAACTCATTTCTAACTCTTGTAGATACGGGCTGGTTTGTGACTTGTGAGTGCTCAATGTTAACTATTACATGCCTCTAGACTCAACAATCCTGAATATCAGACATTGATGCTAGTAGTATATTAGAGCTGAAATGTGAGCCTTAATAGGAACACCCATCAACACTAGAGCTGAGCATACATGCTAGACAAAATAGTGGTCACAGGATCCTACTACTTGTAATGCCAACAATTTAAAGCAAGAAAAGAGATCCTGGGGTGTGTTAGAAAAAGGTGAATCTGCACACCATCCTGAAAGAATCATCCTGAAAGAATCAAGTACCTGTCCTTTAAAAGTGTTGGCTCTTGGGATTATTTTACTGGTTTTGATGCTAAGTTGAAGACAGCAGTAATATTGAACTGGAAGAAAAGCTCGCAATCAAAGCTATATATTACATGATATACTGAGTCAATATAGCAGTTATGTCTTCATAATGATACCGCAAATTTCATGGTAAATGCTATAACTTTTGATGTTATTGTGAATAAAATTTTGTTGAAATTTTCAGTTCTGCATTATTAATAAACTCTCTAACTAATTGCTTAAGAAATGAAAAGAAAAAAAAACTCATGCATCTTAACTGATCCTTTTTAAAAGCGCAGTATTCAGATCTATGCGATTACTCTGATATATTAGTAATCCTATAGAACACTTACACTTAATTCCTAGTTCTTGTTCTTGAGGATGAGCTTATAACACTTGATTCAACTTTTGTGCACAATACAACTTAACTTCTATTCAGAGTTTTGCAACAAAATTGGCCGGACTATGACTAATGCCAAAATGATCCAGGGATAACTAAATCTGGAAAAATAAATGATATAATTAGCCATAAACACATGGAACTCCAATATCAAATCCTTTAATCAAAAGGAAGCATCAAGTCCCAACTCCCAAGCCCTTAAATCCCAAGGACATCACAAGCAAAATAAAATGTCAAAGTTGTTGGGAAGTGATAACAATGTACATACCCTAGCTTTCATTGACTGATCCAACAAAATGTTGGAAGATTTAATGTCACGATGTATCACAGGAGGAACTGCCTGAAAGCAAAAGGAAGAAATCAGATTGAAAACAGCAAAAAAAAAAAAGTAGGTATTCGCTTATCTAAACCCCACTCAATAGATAGAATAAATAAATTACCCCGTCATGAAGATACTCCAAGCCTCTTGCGACATCCAATGCTATATGAACCCTTCGTTCCCAGCTCAATGGTTCCATCTTTTCATCCGGAGAAAGAAAATGAATATCATGAACCCTGTATATTATGGGTTAGCTTATGACAATGTAAGAAAGAAAGTGTGGATCTTATTTGCACAGTATTATTCTAATCTATATAAACACTGTGCAACATGTGTTTTAAGAAATTCCATCAGAAATATTAAGGGAGCATAACACCAAATTGAGTATATACTGATAACTTTTATTTTGTATAATTTTAGAGTGATTTTGAGACTTATAATTGTGAGAAATCAATGCCTTAGTTCACTAATTACTCTATTTTTATGCATTTTTTGTGTATCATATGCTTCACGGGTTTGCTAGTGTTTTGGTGCATATTTAGGTATAAATATGGCACTTTGAAGCTTTTGAACAAAGAAGAAAAGAATTTTGAGACAAGAAGAGGAAATAAGGGAGCTATGGAAGAATGAAATAAACAAGGAAAAGTGTCCAAGAGTGAAATAAGAGCATTTGGAAGGGTTTTGGAAGGATTTTTTCCTTAAGGTCAAGTTCAAATGACTATAACTTTTTTTCTACTCAAGTTTTTGAAGTTATTCAAATTGGATATTAAAGTTCATCTCAAGAGCTTTCCAACGACTACTTACATGCCTTATTCCAATGAGCAATGAAGAAATTATGACCTTCCGAAACGAAGCTGTTTTGCCAGAAAAAGTTGCACGTCCGTGCCGATAAATGCACGTCCGTGCCGATTGATGCACGTCCGTGCAAGATCAGGCAGTAGCTACTGTTCTCATTTCAACAGGTCTGCACGTCCGTGCAACCTTTGGCACGTCAGTGCCGACCCGTAGACGGGCCGATTCTTGGTTTCTCCGTCCTTTTACTTGGGGGTTATATAATATCCCTTTAGCTTCATTTGTAGGGGGGGGGATCTTCTTAGTTTAGTTTTAGCTTAGGTTAGGGTTTTTAGAGAGAGAAACTCTCATTTTCTAGAGAGAGAAAGTGAGAAAAGCTTGTTGAAAGCTTGGAATATGAAGAATCACTAGTAGAAAAAAAGAATTAGGCAACCCCTCTATGGCAACGGTTCATGAAAACCGTTGCCAACTTGCTGTGAGCGCCATTTAAAAAAAAAAAAATTTGGTTACATTTGGCAACGATTAACCGTTGCCAATTGATAAAATTTGAAAAAAAAAATTAAAAGGGGTAGATTTGGCAACGGTTAACCGTTGCCAATTTAAAAAAAATAATCGGGTTTTTGAATACAAACAGCTATACTGTGCAAACGTTCTTCTTTCACCTCCAAAAACGTGCGCCTTCCCTCTCCCCAAACCATTCCACCATTGAATTGAAGCTTCCATTGAAGGGGTTTGTTCTTCTGCCTCCCTCACGCACGCACTCCTCTGTTTTTGCTTTCACCTCCAAAAACACACGCACTCACGTTTTTGCTTTTTCCTCCCTCACGCACGCACTCAGCTCTTCTCTTCTGCCTCCCTCCATATATTCTTGCATTATTGAAGTATGTAGCAGCTCCTCCATTGTTATAGCGCTCCTCATTGCTAGGTAAGTCGTAATAGCGCTCCTCCATTGTTATGGTTTTTGAAGAATTGGTCTTTAAATTAGTTAATATTGACAAGTTTCTTGTAATTGCTAGGGTTTGTCAATAATTGCTAGGGTTTGTCAATAATACGCGCAAGGCTCAGCTCCCCCTCCATTGAACGCATAAGGCTCCCCCTCCACAAATGTAAGGCCTTTTTTAGTTGTTATTGTATTTAGTACAAGCTACATTTACCTATATTTCTAAATTGTTATGAGAACTTTATTTATCATCACTAATAAAGTTGAGAATTTTATTTTGTTTATAGGATAATTTAGTCCTTTTTATTTAAGAGAACAAAGTTGAGAGTTTAGGGTTTAGGGTTTAGGGTTTAAGGTTGAGAGTTTAGGGTTTAGGGTTTAGGGTTTAGGGTTTAGAGTTTAGGGTTTAGGGTTTAGGGTTTAGGGTTTAGGGTTTAGGGTTTAGGGTTTAGGGTTTGAATATACTTTTCTTTATGAGTTGATTCTCACTATATATATGCGTGTTTCAGGCTAAGAAATGGGTGTCAAGGGCTTCTAGGGTAAGATCATCAGTTTGGAGAGTGGGCGGAAAACATCCTGGTATCTTACTCTGACTGTCCTTGTTCTTGCTCACTAATATCATTCTTATCTTTTCCCTTAATCTGGTTTTCTATTTGTGTTCTATATAGGTTACACTGAAAAAGATTATCAGGAATTTTTGGGCGAAGCATAGACCTTGGCATTGACCTTCTATTTGAGAGTGTTGAGCCTTTATAGGTACTCAGGCATATATATATAACTTTATGTGCTTTAAATAAGTTCTTGGTTGCACAATTTTGTGGAGATGGTGTGTGATATAACTTTAGTGCATCTTCTATCATGATGTGTGATTAATCCATTGGTTTTTAATTGATTGCATGTATCATCATATGCCTACATACCCGTTCAAGGCTTTCTCATTAGGAGAAAGTCTTGAATAGTCCCCGGTTGGGACTGTTCTTGAACGTTTACTCTCACTTAGGTGGTGAATGTATGTCAGTTTTTTCGATTTTAAGGAACATCTTGGCTTAGCATTTCCTGGATCACCATGTTCTCTGGGTACATATGTGGGTAAGTAATTACCTACGTCGTGTACTTGGAGAACTGGGGGGAAATGTTGCCGGATTTTCCTTAAAATTGGAAATCTGATATACATTCACTAGTGAGAGTAAACGTTCAAGGATGGGTTAGGTTAGAGTGATAAGGACCCTTTGGAAGCATATATGCATTTTTGTATCTATATGAATGTTATATGCATGTTGTGTGTTTGAATTTGATTTGTATATATAATAGATGTAGAAATTATACATTATTCGTAATATGTTGCCATGTTTAGAGACAATTTACTTAATGGAGAGGGATCGTGGATGGATGTATGGTAGACGTGATACATTGGAATGCTTTAATGGGGTTCAAGAGTTCTGCGAGACGGCTTCATCTTATCAGCGCAGAATGGGTTTCGAGGGCCTCTATTGTCCTTGTGTTGATTGTAATAATGTGAAGGTGGTCAATAGTGTTGATATCATTAGAGATCATGTAGTTTGTCGTGGGTTTAGGGTTAAATATCATGTGTGGATTTGGCATGGTGAAGAAGGAGAGTACAGTGGGGATGTTATTGGGTATGATGTGCATGATGATAGAAGTAATGATATCCGTGTGGACGAGGAATACAAGAATGATGAACATATTGATGATGGTGGTGCTGAGGAGGGATTTGAGGATGATCATGTGGATGAGGTTGAGGATGAAGGTGTGGATGAGATGATGCGTGGTTTTGAAGGTGACGTGTTTGAGTCATTATCGGAGGCTTCTAAAAAGCCTTTGTATCCTGGTTGCAAAAAATACTCCAAACTATCAGCCGTGCTAACTCTTTTTAACATTAAGTCGAAGCATGGGTGGACGGACAGTAGTTTTACTTCCTTGTTGAGCGTGTTAAGTGAGATGTTGCCCGATGGGAATGAAATTCCTAAGTCTTACTATTACGCTAAGAAGCTCATGTGTCCATTTGGTTTGGAGTATAAGAAGATACATGCATGTCCTAATGATTGTATTCTTTACCGAAATGAATATGAAAAATTGGAGGAGTGTCCAAGATGCAAGAAGTCGCGCTACAAGCGCAAGAGTTGCAATGTTGGTACGAAGGGACCTCCTGCTAAGGTGTTGTGGTATCTTCCCATAATTCCAAGGTTTAAGCGTCTGTTCTCTTTACCAAAAGACGCTAAAAACTTGAGGTGGCATGCAGAGGGAAGAAAGAAAAACAGAATGCTGAAGCACCCAGCCGACTCCCCGCAATGGAAGAACCTTGATATGAAGTTTGGGGAATTTGGTGATGAAGTCAGAAATTTAAGGCTTGGTTTGTGCACGGACGGGATGAATCCATTTGGCACTCTTAGTACCCAGCACAGCACATGGTCGGTACTTTTAGTGATCTACAATTTGCCTCCTTGGTTGTGCATGAAACGGAAATATGTAATGCTTTCACTCTTGATATCGGGGCCAAGGCAACCTGGAAACGACATTGATGTGTATCTTGCGCCATTGGTTGATGATTTGAGAAAGATGTGGGACGAAGGGGTTTCCGTGTTTGATGCTCATAAGAATGAGATGTTCACATTGCGTGCAGCTCTTATGTGGACCGTTAATGATTTTCCTGCATATGGAAACTTGTCTGGGTATAAGAATAAAGGGAAAAAGGCATGTCCCATTTGTATTGATGATACGCCAAGCAGACGCCTTGATCATTCTTTCAAACAGGTGTATTTGAGGACAAGAAGGTTGCTCAGGCGCGATCACCCGTACCGTCGGCAGAAAAAGGCTTTCGATGGGACGGTGGAGGAGGGGACTGCTCCTAGGCCACTGACTGGTGAGGAGGTTTACGCTCGGGTCAAGGGTGTACGAACAGTATTTGGGAAATCTGAAAAAGCGGCGGAATCAGTTACTCTCTTTAAAAAAGAATCAATCTTTTGGTTGCTCTCGTACTGGAAAGAACATGACGTTAGGTGTTTCGGGGTTTTCTGATGTCCTGCGGGAGAGTTACAATTCCGAGACTGGAACCGGACGCCTGTACCTGCAAAACAAACGAATGCTCCGGATGATTGGAGATCCGCCTCCGACGGTCAAGTTAGTACTTGATTAAGGAGTAATTAATGCGGAAATTAAAGTTATTGGGTCTCTCTAGGTGAGAGAGTTTAATGTGTGTAATCTGCGTCCTCTCCCTTAATGAGGATTAAGGGAGGTATTTATAACCTCGGGAAACGTGCCAATCTAGGTTTAGGTTAACCTTGGGCTGATTGGGCTTCTCACGGAAGTTGGGCCTAGGTGACCGGTTATCCCAGGTGTCATGGGAAGGACACGTGTCGTGTCGTAATTGGTCCATAGTGGACGGATCATTGCTTGACACGTGGCAGGCTCCTATTGGCCCATGTGACGGACACATGGCGGAACCTGATTGGTCCAC